ATGTTTTGTAATTTTACAATGTAGAAGATATAGGTGTTCTGCTTACGTTTTTTCAACAAGAGAATTTTGAATTTCAATTTAAGATGTAACTTTTATGAGAGAAACTTAATTAAAATGAAATATACCAGGAACGCTTAGCCTAAAAAATATTTTAGAAACACTTGTTAATATTGGACTAAAGGGTTTTTTTTAATGAAAGTTATTTTTAAAGGGAAATACAAAATAAGGAGTGATATACAGGTTAAGTCTTGTAATAAACTTCTCAGATCTGTAGTACCTATTTGTTGTATTACAATCTTGTTGCCAATGAAAATAACTTGGCAACTGATTGGGGCTTGGAAATTTTGCTCAAGGATTTGGTTTTAATGACATTTTACCTACATTCTAAAAACATGAAAATATTTTTAGTAAAGTGTAACATTAAAAAAAAAGGTAACGTGATAGGAGTAACTTCGCATAATTTTTCTGAGAGTTATTTTGGAAATCTTTAAGATCTTTCAATTTGTGATTTTTATTAACTGAGTTATACCACTTACAGGAGTACAACCTGAGGAACATTTAAAGGAATATAAAAAGATTTAGGTACAAGTTTGTATTAGTGTTATTTATAAAATAGAATAAATAATAAATATGTTGTAATGGGTGATTAAAGTGTTGTGCATCATATGATGAAATAAATGCCATCAATAAAATATCTTAAAAATTTAAAGATAAGAAAAAGAAAAAATATATATAATGCTTTATGAAAATGAAAGGATAGTTTTGTGTACATATATGCAAATATAGATACATATGAATATATCTAGAGAAAATATTGGAGGATAAACCATCAGAGTTTATTTCTGATAAATTATTGATTTAAATGTTTTCTATTTTTCTGAATATTACAACTTTGTATAGTAAACACGTATAACCTTCACAGATAAAGAGTATAATTTCTTTAGATAAACCAAAAGAATTTAGCATTTAAAATACTATTTTCTAATTTTTAAACATTCTTCTTTTAGGGCCTCCCCTGGTGGCGCAGGGGTTGAGCGCTGGGCTGCGAGGCTGCCTGCAGCCTCTGCAGTGCCTGTTTGTTCCCCGGCCGCCAGCGAGGGTCCCACAAAAAAAATAAATAAATAAAATAAAATAAAAAAATTCTTCTTTTAAAAATTAAACTCAATACTTACTGTTTTAATATATGTTAACTAAATAAAAGGTGTATAATTATAAATTATGTGTATTTATGTGACTTGTTTTAAAATAAGATGTTTGCAGTTAATTCCTATTATAGCAATCAAATTTGACTGACAAGCACAAAGGAAACAGGTTTGTTGATGTCATGAAAGTTGGTATTTTATTCAAATTTATGAGTTTTTGAAGTAAGTCTCTGGATTGTTAATTTCCCAGGATTTTAGTCTCATCTACTCAGATTACTAGTATAAGCTTGAATTTAAAATTAGTAACTTTTGTTATAAAAAGATAAATTTGACAAAGAGAGCTAGCAGATGAACAAATGTTGATTTTTCTCTTTATTCAGTTAACATTAAAAGACTGTCTTTAATATTTTAATATATTTGTTTATGTGCAGTTTACTTTGTAAAAACTTCGTGAGTACATTCATGAATTTGATTAGTTTTTGAAAATAGTAATGCACATGTTCTTTTTCATTTTGTACAGATTATTTTGGGCATTTGCTTTCAGGAAACTTTATTCAAGGACTTGGTATTTTCATAAATAAAATTAGTTTCATTTACTTTGAGAAAATGTGAAATAGTCAAAGACAGCAAACCTAAGGATCCAAAAACTGTTTATTTCTTATGCTTTGTTGATGGCTTTCTTTCTTAGACCTTATTACCTGTTTTCATCTATTTAGAAGCTAATACTCATTTCAAGGGTATTAATAGTCTTTGGAAATATATATATATATATATATATATATATCAGATATTATCAGATATATATCAGATCCCTGATAAATAACAGAAGTCAGATCTAGTATATGGTACAGTTCTGTAAAACCTGTGCAGCTAATATAAAACCGAGATAAATGCTACCGCCTCAATATAGAAAATAATTGCATAGAAGTTGAATGACCACAGGTCAAAGCTGGTTTAGACCAGAACCTGTGTCCTCCTAATGACTGACTATGATTCGTGTGTGTGTGTGTGTGTGTGTGTGAGAGAGAGAGAGAGAGAGAGAGAGAGAGAGAGAGAGTGTGTGTGTGTGTGAAAAAGAGAGAGATTTGAGAATTTTAAAATAAAGTTCTGTTTTTTGGGGGACTGGGGCTGGATTCCCCTTGAGAGAGAGTAAATGCTGTCTCAGTCAGTGTCTGGCAAGTTTTTCTGTGAAGTTCCATCTCCCTTGCCAGCAAGCAAATGTCAAGTCTAGGTGCATGAACTTGGTGGTTGCTGTTCACAAGTAGTTTCTCGTTACAGATAGAGTTGTTTTCAATTCAGTTTCTTTTTGTTAAATCAGCTCATTTTAATCATCAATTAAAATCTGAAGAATGTCTTTAACTTTCATTTCTATTGTTTGGTATTCTCAAGAAGCTGTACTAGTACAATTTTTTTCTCACAAAACAATGTTGTGATAGTTGATACTGAGATTATTATTGTTTCACCAGGCTACTCTTAAATGTGTACTATGAATAATAACCCAGATCTTTATATTTATGTTAGTGCAGTAGAAATTTGTAATCCTATGGCTCAGTATCCCAAACCTCATAACATTTTACACCTATAATAAGTACCAACTGTCAATTTGCTGATGAAACATACTTCCTGATAAAATAAGTGAGTAGTCAAACAATACCTTATAATTATATAACCAGATGTAAAAAGCAGCTGCTTTATTCCTAAAGTAGAAGAAAAAAAGAACTAAATTTGTGTTTACTGATTTTTTTGGTGATAGTGCCCCTGTTTTGTATTTCCTACATAGATAATAAATGAGCTTTAAAATGATGATTCTAGTGAGATATATTCCAAATCATCAAAAAAATTCATTTTTAAAAAAGCTATTATTACTTCACCTACACAGTAACAGTATTTTATTATATACTATTTTATTATCTACTATGGTTTTCTTGCTTTAGTTTATTAGAATATTAACTGAAATACCTCATTTTGTTTGTGCATCCTAAGAAATCAGTTTAATTAAATAAAGTAAAACTGCTTTAAAAGGGCCTCCCTGGTGGCGCAGTGGTTGAGTGCTGGGCTGCAAGGCTACCCGCAGCCTCTGCAGCGCCGGTTGGATCCCACATGGCGCACAGACCTCTCCTGCCGCCCGCTGCTTCCCTCAGCAGTGTACTTCGGTCCTTCTGCCTGTTCTGCTCCCCGCTCTGTCTCTGGTGGATTCTCTCACCCTCCCGCACTTCTGACTGTACCCAGTGCTTGTATAAAGAAAGAAAGAAATCTTTTTTTTTTTTTTTTAAACTGCTTTAAAAGATTTAATATGTCCTGATATTGTCTCTAGTATTACCAGGTTACTGAAGCAAAATGAAATGTTGAAAGTGTTAAAAATCTTATGTTTAAACATCTACTGTGTTTTCTATCTGTTTTTAGGAATTGTAATGAATAGCTGGGCTATTTTTTTATTAGGAAAAGATTTTGTGTATATATATATATATATATATATTGTAATAATTGCATGTATTTAGATTCTCAAAGACAGGAGGAAGAGATTATCTCATTTTAAATAAGTTCCATCTGATACAGTATAAATTAGCAGTTTAAACTATCAACTATATTGATGATTGATTTACTCTGCTGGTCAAAGCATGGAGAACATATTTTAATCGGATGTGAAATTCTACAAAGATATTTTTAAAAATGGAAAAAAAAAACTTGAATTCTTCGAACTTTCTGAATAAAAATTGCTTAAACTCTAGGTTTTATTATTTCTTTCTGTAAAACCTTTGTGGCACTGTAAGCTTTTCTAGTAAAATTCCATTCATAAATTGGATCATACTCCTCTTTTATACAGCATATCAATGAAAATTCATTTGCTTTTTACTTTTTTATAACTAAATTCCTTAGTTATTGTGTTATCATAGGTTATAAATAAATATTCTAGAAAATATATACCTAGTTTGTAATGTATTCCCTTGGACAGTCTCATTGTAGTGAATCTTTTGAACTGAATGATCCATGTTGTGAGTCCTTCTTTGTAGGTTATTAAATAATTCTGTTGGATTGCATGAGAATAAAAATGGTATTTGTTACCTTGGTTTGCTCTAATATTTATCAAATGGTGAGATGGTGGTTATGAGATCAGGTATATTCCTTCCTTATAATTGTCAGTTTTTAAATCTAATGATGGTGCTTATTTTGATTTGTATTTTGGAAATCATTGTGTGTTTATTATGATATAAATAGCATATTGTTACTTATGATTTTGAATAGCACCCTACTTTAAAAAAAATTTTTTTTTCAATAACACCCTACTATAGCATAGATTTCAAAACTCAGAGATTGAGATATTATCAGTGGAGATTAAGGAGCAAAACATAATCCAGTGAAGTGATTGTTATAACATGTATTGCTTTAAGATATTATTTTCCAGGTTTTGAAAGACATATAGATCTATTTCAATACTCTTTCTTTGCCACTATCAATGTTTGTATGTATATTTCTTAAGCCATTTAGGGTTGCTAAAAGAAGGGTATAACTGTATTTCTGGAGATTTTTAAAATTGTAATTAATGTAAACACCATCATTAGGTATATACAAGAACTTGAGGAGAAAAATGAATGCTTTACCACCTGGATATAAGGTCCATGGTGAGCTCATAACTAAAACTCAGTTTTGTTTTTCCATTTTGTAATTTAATCCAAGTAGTAGTTTTTTGGTTTTTTTTTTTTTGTACCGATAACACTGGTCCATTAACCTAAAGATCATTTATGAATAAACTCTGATATTCTTCCCCTTTGTAAATCTGGATATTTCTTCTTTGTAATAAAAAAGAAATCATGTTACAGTAACTAATTCTTGCCCTACACCCTTTTTTCCCCCATTTAGAAAAATTGGAAGCTGCACCACCCACCCCAGGACAGCTGAGATATGGTAATTGTTCTATAATTGTTAATATTTATGAATCTATCTTTTGAACTTGAATTAAATGTATCATTCATTGGTAGTACAGAAGAGTCAGTAAATCTTACCAAATAGAGTGTGCTATCCTCTTCATTATGCTGAAGCAAAGGATTTATGTCTTAATTGAAGACATATCCCAACTCTGTAATATGGTATTTTATTTCTAATACTGTTAAAATGTTACAGATAGAAAGAGAATTATACTTATGATAGACACTGTCTCAATTTCCAGGAGAAAGGATATGTTTAGTTTGGATTTAAGTTGAGTAATTGCAGAACTGAAATTTCTAGATTCAAGGGTAGGTAGAATTGTTCTCTGGTGGAGAAAACATTTCTGAGTTGCTATTTGTGTTAGAAGGAAGAAAAGTTTATTTAAAACCACAAGGAAGAAGAACCTTACAATGCTGTTGGTATTCTCTCTTTATTATGATAGGAATAAATATTCAAGGGCTAATACTAAAGTAATATAAAACAATTTTGGATCTTATTATAAAGATAATGAAAGAAGAAAATTACCTATCAGTGCAATAAATTAGAGTGGATTTTAAGTTAAAGCTAAATATTTGATATGGCTTGCTGACAACTGCTGAGTTAGAGAATAGCATTTCCCAAAGGAAATTGAAGAAATCACAGATTGGTAGGAAAACATGACATACTGCATAGCAAACATACATGTATTTTAAAAACCTATCTAAAATCTAGTTCTTGGGCCTCCCCGGTGGCGCAGCGGTTGAGCGCTGGGTTGCGAAGCTGCCCGCGGCCTCTGCAGCGCCGGTTCGATCCCCGGCTGCTCCCCGGCCACCGGAGGAGGGTCCCACATGGCGCGCAGACCTCTCCTGCCGCCCGCTGCTCCCCTCAGCAGTGTACTTCAGTCCTTCTGCCTGCTCTGCTCCCCGCTCTGGCTCTGGTGAATCCTCTCACCCTCCCGCGCTTCTGACTGTACCCAGTGCATGTATAAACAAAACAAACAAACAAACCAGCAAACAAATAAATAAATCATGCCTCTATTAAAAAAAACAAAAAAAAAAAAAAAAAAAAAAAAAAAAAAAAAATAAAATCTAGTTCTTTTTTCACTTAGAGGTAGAATATAATATATATTAGAAATAAATAACTTCCCAAATACCAGAACAATTCAAGAAATCTCTGATATTCTTCCGTAGGCAGTTTTCCCTGAAGATCCCAGTCTAAATTCCTGCAATCATCTGTAACACTGTGTAATAATGCTATAATTTTTGGGGGTCATGTTGAAGTCAACTCATTATATGGCTGAGTTGTCATACCAGAACTTCTTAAGGGCTGGTAACAAAGTCTTACTTATCTTTGTATCTCAAGTGCCTGGTGGAGTTTCTGTCCAGTTCATGCTCATTTAACTCTTTGAAAGTTATATTATTTCCCTTTGGGTTAAAAATAACTTTGTACTTATAGGACATAAAAATAACTTTGTACTTATAGGACACATTTATTTAGATCTAAACATAAAAATGTGATGTATTTTGTAGTTCAAAGTAATAAGTAATGGCAGTGTGCCTTTAATTGGTTTTATTGACTAAGTTTATACTAGCATAGCAATTAATCTCATCTTAATTTTAATAGTTTTAACACCTAATTTTAAGATATTTGTAACTGGCCAGTTTTAGAGATGCCATTAAATTGGCCCCAAAATGTATGTAATCCCAAAGGTTTCATAGCTACTCTGCCATATTTGCATTTCAAAGATGATTCAGAAGATGTTTTAGATTTCTCTCCAGAGGTATATTAAGTATCTCTTTCTTCAGTGTCAAAGTTTAATTTAGTGAATTAAAAACTTTTCATTATATTCCTCTGACATGCCAAATTTGCATTATATTTTTGGAAATTGGATAGTGTACATGTTTGGAAGATGCTTATTGTAAACAAATTGTCTTGTAGGTAAGCAATAGGACTTAGGCAAAAATGTCAAAGAACCAAGGCTAGACTGGCATTGAAACATCCCATTTCATCAATCTGCTGTTTTATCTTTATCATCTTTAATAACTTTAAAAATAACATTCTTTACAATAAAAATGCTTTTTTGGACATTCTTGCTAATAACAAGAAAAAAGTCTGGCCTGGGATATTTCCTTTTTTCCCTCGATCTTACTCTTTGATAGTGCTTGTAGATGGAGGTGTGGATTATTACTATTTTTCACTGCTTATTAGCATTCCCTGATTGGTGCAGAACTCACTACAGTAGTATCAGACTTGCATAACTTCTGGAGTATATTTTAATTATACTTTCCATGGAGGAAAAAACTCAAGTCACTGAACTCATAACCATTTGGTTGAAGAGACTATTTTTTAGATGTAATATAAAAATTAAAGTTTTGATGTTTATCTAAAAAAGAGTTCTCAGTTGAACTGATGCTGAGGTATTCCTTTGCAATGTTATGGATTAATTAGAATAAAGTCTTTTAATTATCCCCAGCATTTCATTTGTTTCACATTCTGCCTTCAATTCTCTCAATCTGGAATTCTCTCCCTTTACAGGTTAGTGGTCCTCAACTTCACTAACTAAATGTTTGTTGAGCATCTACTGTGCACCAGCCATTCTGCAATGTGCTAAAGATGCACATGTGAAAAAAAATGAAGCTAACTATAGAAAAATATAGTGGTTTTAGTTCTTTCTGGTTACACTTCTATTTTATGATTATGTACTAGATTATGTACTAGATAGATAAGGTAAGGTGTGTCTTTGGTGGAAGAGGCCAAGTTACATTTTGATTTAAATCAAGTATTGTTGGTTTATAGTCTGTGAAAGCATTCAGGAGTACCAGTTTATTATGAGGGGGGAAAAAGGCTTTGCACAAGATGTCTGACGTATATGATACCACATTTTTCTGATATTTGTTTTAAAAATTGTTTAGTGAGTAATAGCAACCAAATAGCTTCCCTGAAAGTTGATTCAGGGCATTTTTATTATTTCTAATATGGAAATCAATTTTATAATATCAGTCTAGGTATAAGAGAAACAGGTTGATGTCAGTAGCAATTTAAACAGGTAAAACGTGGTACTCATTAATGTGTACTTACTTTTTCTGCCATTAACTGTATGTAATTTGTGTGAGTGTGTGTGTGTTGCCAGTAAGAAAACATAAAGTCTAACACAGTTACTTCTACATGTTATGTGTTTTATTTTGTTTATTTCCAGTATAGCATCTACCAAGTGGTTACACTTATAGTAGGAGCAGAATCTTTTGCCTATGGGAAATGAAAAGCAAATCCCAAGATTATCAAATCTGTTTAGGAGACTGATCATATGGTCTGTTACTGCCATTTTAAAGTGATAGAAATCTTAAAATATATTTTTCTGTTTTTGATGTTTTTCAGTATTCATCCACAATGCGATACCTTTCATAGGGTTTGGCTTTTTGGATAATGCAATTATGATTGTTGCAGTAAGTTCTTTCTCTCACCCCTTCTATTTTGAGTTAATAAAGAAAATAATGTGATCTAAATTTTCCTAGTAATTTGTATATTATAGCTATAAAGTTTTATTTAACAGCATAATGAATAAGGCTTTTTTTATACTATATCTCATGTTAGGCTATAATTCAACTTTAAGGCATCATTATATGTATTAATCATTATGACTTTTGGTAAAGTTGCTGACCAAGAATTTCAACATTCTTACAGGAAAAATGTGTTATTTTCTGATGCTTTTTATCACATATATGTTCTTTTACTAGTTCCTAGTTCAAGTTCCCCATGCATAAATGTTTTAAGGGGTGTTTTGTTATATAGTCTATCCATTTAATACAAAGGTGTTTTAAGTTCAGTTCAGAACATTGTGAATATATCTTCCTGTCTTTGTTCCATTGTAGTGTTAAAAAAAAAAAAAAAATTCCCTTTTGCTCTGGCCACTTTAATGTAAGGATGTTCCTTAAGAGTGTCATTTAGTCTTAGAGATGACTGATTATTAGGTTTTTTTTTTTAAGATTTATTTTTATTTATTTATGCATACAAGAACTGGGGTATAGGCCAGAGGTGCAGGCGGGTGAGAGGACTCACCAGAGACAGAGTGGGGAGCAGGATAGGCATATGTGCTGAAATACCGTGAGAGAGGAGAGGTCTGCACCATGTGACCCTATCCCTGGTCAGGGATTGAACTCATGCTTGATAGTGCTGAGACTTTAACCCCCGTGCTACCAGGAAGGCCCCAAATTTGCTTGTTTACCGGGGGCTTTTTAGTTTGTTTTGGTGAATTTTAGATCACGTGTACTATAAATGCACATATTAGGTTTCAGAATAGGAATTAAAGTATAATTTACATTGTATAGATTGTAAATTTGCTTTAAGTATCTGAAATTGGTTCATTCAAGAATGGTTTCTTTTGCTGTACAGCTCACCATATGTCCAGATTGATGAAATCAGATATTCAGTCACTTAACTTGTGGAAGGAAATTATAGGGTTAACACAGCAGGAAGGTGTCCTGCTAATCAACAGTCTTAGAAGATACTCTAACATGCACCTTGAAGGTGATAAGCACACGTAATTCTTCAGTAGATTTAGCAGCTTCTAGAACCATTTCAAAGTGCTGGTCTCTCTCTCTCTCTCTCTCTCTCTCTCTCTCTTTCTAATTGTTACATTTTCCTAGTATGTATATAAGATTCAAATTGACCACTTCATCTAATGTGAAAAATTTCTTCAAGCATTTGGAACCATACTACCTTTTCTGAAATCACATGAGTTGCTCAGATTATTTAAATAGTTAATGTAAATCACATGTAATTATCATGAAAACTATGAGTTTACAAACTGTAGTCAGGATTTGGTGTATTATTTAATTTTTTTTATTATTATTGAAGTACCACTGTTTTATATCCATGCTAATACTTCGACATTATAGGATTTCTCCTTTCAGGTGTGGTCACCATAGCTCTCCCACCGCCAAAGCTAGACTTATATATTCTTGAATAGATTGTCTGAATTATAGCTGTGAGAGATACTTCTTTAAATCTCACATAACTTAGTGTTTTATGTTACTGAGAGCTAGTACCCATGCTAACGTTCCAATAATCATTTGTTACTTTTATCCCCCACCGCCTTCGGACAAACTTGAGTCACTCGGGTACTAAGAAACATCATTGTCTCAGCAGTGTTGAGAGGATATATTTTCCATAGAGAGGGGTTCAAGGAATTTTTGGAGATCAAAATAGAGATATTGAGTGGCTTCCGTGATCCTGAATAAGATACTCACCTTATGTTTTTATCATTTTTTTGAAATAAATAACAGATGAGTGTTTAAATACAACTACCAAAGAGGAAAAACCAAACCAAACCAAAACACTGCGTTCTAGAGTACAGTTATTAATATGGCTCACTCTTTTGTGTCGTTCTGGCCTGTGTCTCATTATCTGTATAATTGAGAGTGAACTGTTTTTCCAGGTCTGATATAATTGACTCCAAATTAAATACTGATGGTAGCTGACAGGTTCCTCTCTTCTGTATTAGTACAGCAGTTTTGTGTTTTCATTTTATCCATATAGAAACAACTTTCTGATTTATACTGAAATCTATTTTCAAGACTATCACCAGTTCTTATTTATATAATCCTGTAATAAATGTTTAAACCACTGGCTTCAGTACCTTATTAAGAGTAAATAAATGTGGTACAATATTATTTTGTGATACTTTCAAATTAATTCAGGGACAGTAAAATTTTCCAAGAGCTTTTGTAATTTCTGAGACTAACACACATAAATAAGAGAGTTATATATATATAACTAACTATAGTAATATAGGTAATAAATACAGCTACAGAATCTATTAATAGGGAAATAAATAATCATTATTACCTGAAGAATTTTTTTTCACCTTTTTTTTTTTTTTTTTTTTTTTTTTTAATACTGATTGCTTCTACCATTGTGGAACAGCTATGACTCTTTTTAGGATTGTGAGTTAAGGGGATACTTCATTTTTCCTCCTGGCATGCTATAGACATTAGATATTTTACTTTTCCATAATATATTCTCTTGGCTGCAACCTTCGTTTTAGTCATAGAAACAAATTCCTATACAATTTCTTTAAAGTAGATTTTATTTTTGTTGTTCAGTGTTGTCCAAACTGAGCATTTGGTTTCTTAGTTTTTCATTACATTTTTTTATATTACTAGAATTGCCTCCTTCTAACTTATATTTCAGCATTTTAAAAATTACTTTTCTTACAATTAGGGTAGAATTAGAATTCTAGAGTAGATTAATAGTATTAAGGTGATGAAACATGTATGACCTGTTGTTCTGTTAGATTTATTTGTGATTCCTGCCTCACTTGTTAACATAAAACTTGTTTTAATTATGGGAACAAGAAAAATCCATAGTCCAATTGCCATCAAACTGTCTTTGATTATATATTACCTAAGGCTTTTCATGGTATTTGGACCTTCATATTTTGAAATTCAACCAAATGAACAAGCACCTCAACACTATTTAAATACTTGTATTGCAACTGGATTCTTCTGTGTCATTCCTAACATTTCCTAATAACTGCTGTTAAAATGCCATGTTTATTTTTTTATTCATGGTAGCTGACAGGTACTTCTCCTGTATTAGTACAGCAGTTTTGTGTTTTCATTTTATCCATATAGAAACAATTTCATTCTTCATGCCTGTTATTTTCTTTTCCTCTTCAGAAATCTGTTCCTTTGGGTACCATTCAATTTTGTAATTTTAAATATCAGGTAGATTTTTGAAGATCAGACTGCTCAGTCTGTATTCAACAAGAGTTGTATTTTAAAGATGTGAAACCAAAAGGCCAGCTTTACATTTGTTTTATAAATAATTGAGTAATGCCATATTTCTACATCCCAGATATAGTATTCTTTTTTCCCCTTCTACAAATATTACTGAGATTTAAAAGTTTCTAAAGTTCTAAACATCAGTATTAAAGAGAACTTTTAAAAAGTACATCTATTTTTGGTAGTACTACCTAAGAATTAGAACTGAATTAGCACAATAAATCCTAGGATTTCTTATTTATTCTACATAATACCACACTAGAATAGTTTAATTATCTTCATTTTAATTCCTTCTCTTTACAGTGGAGGTAAATATACAAGTCCTTCTTTTCAGAATAATGATGTATTTTCAAGTTCTAAAAGTCTCCCAATAAAATAAATTCAGTAGAAATGCAATGTTGCCTCCTTTTTACTGTAGCTTTATTATACTAAATGTTGCTTATAAATGAATCATATAATCTCACTACTTCCTGGTTAAAGAAGTAAGTGTTATTAGGATAATTTTTGAAGTCTATGGTCCTTTTGGTGCCTGGATACTGCTTAAGTCTGTCTTTTTAATCTTTTGGTAGAGTAAATATAATAATAATATAGATATCAGTCAGAATTTAAAATGAGGTGAGTTGGTCTTTGCTTAGAGCTTTAGAATTTCTTTGTGGTAGGAAAATATACATTCTAGATTTTTAATGATGAATTGTATTGCTATATTGTTTTTATTTTTATGAAAACCTAATTTTAATGATAAAATATTGATGTTATTTCTGCATGAATGCATATATTTAATAATCAAGTGAATTACTGCATTATATATACACATTTCTGCATACTTTATGTATACACTTGCTGGATAGCATGTTGGTTTAACTATTTTTATTAATACTTTGCTATTCTTTTATAGTTACTTCATCTTTAATTTTTAAGATTAATTTCTTTGTAATAATTTTTCAGGGAACCCATATTGAGATGTCTATTGGCATTATTTTTGGAATTTCAACTATGGCAGGTATTTAATAGTAATGTTATTACTTCACTGTATATTCATAAAACGTTTCAGTAGATTAGGTTTAGGAGAGGATAATTTGTTTCAGTCAGCTTATTAATATGTCTATTTTCTTAAATCCTATTCTAATATTTAATTTTGTGATAGAATAGTTTTTTGCTGAGAAATTTTAATTAGTGATCAGTAATACTCGATTGTATTAAAAGATATTTTTCCTTTTATTCTCTGTTACCCCAAAACCTTTCTACCCTTCGTCTCTATTAAATTATTTATTTTAAAGTTGGGTAGAAAAGTCAAAGACAGAAATAAAGATTAGAAGTATAATTTGATTCTCTCTCCTTCTTTCCCCCAATTAACCACTCATTTTTGTAACAATAAAATTTGGGAATGGTTCTAATGTTATGTTTACTGTATAGAAAACATGATTCTTTTCAAAATTTAAAGCCATACATATGCCTTTTTTTTCTTTAACTTCCAAATATCCAAATTCCCTTAAAATACTGTGCAGGTGTTTTAATATTGAAACCAAAATGGAAACTGGCTGCAGTAACAGAAAAAACTTAGTACTTGGTGAAGGTAGAATTCTGTAATCTCAAAAGACCTGTGTTTGATTTTGAAATCTTTCAGTTATTTGGATATAGTTGATGAAATTTGAGAAATGTGATAATTTCCAGACCAGTCAGTACTTTATTGATTATGTAATGTTGTATTGTAATGATTTTTCTGACTTCCATATGACAATTCACTTTTTCATTTAAAAAATTTTTAGCTGCTGCTTTGGGAAATCTTGTGTCAGATTTAGCTGGACTTGGGTAGGTTCATTTATATATTCATTTCTGCTTGTGTATACTTACTTTGCTCCTTTTCTTCTCCATTCTCCTTTAAATAAGGATTAAAGAAAAAGGAACAAATCCTGTGTGTTTTAGAACTAGATTTTAAAATTTAGTACAGTATTATAAATCAGTAGTACTAAATCTTTGATATGCATCAAATATAAGTACCTGGGTTACACCCCAGTCATACACAATTTTTGTGTCTGGTGGAGGGGCCTTGGCGTTTCTGTTTAATAGTCTTTATTTACTCAAATATATGCATTTCATAGACATTTTCCAAGGATAAAAGCAAGACCACCATCATTATTCCACCTCATTCTCCTCCTCCTCCCATTAAGCCCAGAGATGAAGTTGTCTGATCAAGAGTGAGGATGCCGACTGGGTGTGTTGTACAGAGAGAGAGGGGAATGATAGCCAAAGCAGACATGGACTTGGCCAGTTTTCCCTTTCTTTTGTTCCATGTGGCAGGAATGATAAAACAAACTGAGTATGTCTACTTAGAAAAGGCTAGTTTTCTCACTTTCTTTACATTCTCTATTCCAAGTGACAGATGGCCTGGGCTGCTTCCTCGGTTTGGGGAAACCTAGGAAGTTTAAGTTAGACTAAGTTGGCATGAAATAATGTGACAAACATACTCTCTCTTGCTCAGTGTTTGACTGTTTCTTCTTTCTTTGGTTCATTAGTGTGGTAAGTTTTAAGGTTTGAATTGGGGGTCTAATAGAAGTTAGGTTAGTCTTATCATCTAGTCAAAGCCAACTTCATGGTGATCTAATTATACAAGATTTCTAACTGGGGCTTGATGCCAAAGCTACTGTTAAAAACAGTTTCTTTGCTTCTAGGCTAATGCAGAAATTTTATATTCCTGTAATTTCTGCCATAAATCTATAATGATATCACCCTTAAACAATCTGTTTCCCAATTTCCAACACTAAGGTTAATAAGCATAATATAACTACTATGATAACCTTTCTGTATTTAATAAAATCAAATGATCTAATAGATTTTAGATTTTTGATTGTATCATTAGGGAGTTATTTTATGAGTGATAAATACTTCTTTATATTTAAGAACTATTGTCCACCTTTAAAAAAATACATTAAATAACAAGTACCATACTTCACCAGTGCACATTTCTTTTAGACCTTAATGTATCTGATATTGGGATTCATCTTATAATATGGTATGCAGAATTGGCCTTTTCCCTTTCCTACAGTTTATAAAGTAAGATTGTTCTCATTAAATGATAGCAACTTAGAATTGATAATATTTGAGATTGCCCTAAAAATTTTAAGTTGTTTTTCTCGGTATGTCAATCTGATAAATTCTGGAAATTTTTTCATTCTGATGACAAATTATTTTTGAGTTATATCATACATCAAAGCTTTTTGCTTTGAATTTGGAATTAATGTATAAATTACAATTGTCAAAACTTTTTTATACCCTGAATTGATCTTTTAAAAGTAATGGTAGAGGATAATTGCACTGTGAATTACTTTACCTGTATATTAAGTATATTAATGTGGACATTTTAAAACTGTATATATTTATCACAATACAACATGAAAGTTGTAAAGCAGTATTTATACCTTTTGTATAATGCCAGTTAGAGGTGTAAAATGATTTTGTTTCTCTTTGTATAATTAGTTTTTTACTATATGATGACATTTGTGTGTCTCTTTTAAAACTTGTATTTCATTCTCTTGTATTTTGTCTTTGTTTTTTTTAAAGACTTGCAGGCTATGTTGAAGCTTTGGCTTCTAGGTTAGGCCTGTCGATTCCTGATCTCACACCAAAGCAAGTTGACATGTGGCAAACACGTGTTAGTACACATCTGGTAAGTGCTTTGTGTGGTTTATCATAATTGAATTCAGAGAGCCAGAGCAATTTAGCTTGAATGAAGTCTTTAACAAAAATTTGCTAACCACTGGCAGTTTTCAGAAGAACAGTGTGTTTTGTTGTACTTGATTTAAATTCTTCATATGATTTTTTTATATGATTCAGTTAATGTTAAGAGAATGAAGGACACATAATAAATAATAAACTATAGTTATCTTTGAGGATTGTGTAGGTGTGAAATCAAACAAGTAAACCAAGTTTTAATTTAATGTGACATACATTAATAAAATTATATACTAGATATAATAATAGCACAAATAAGATAATAAACACTTTGTGAGGAGAAATTTCTTTTTGTGGGGAAATTTCTTTGACTATTACTGGGTCTAAGATGATTCTTGAATTGTTGATGAGACATTTGCTAAGTGAACAAGAGAATTCTAAGTATATTAACTAACTAGTAGAAAGGCATAAAAATAGGATATGTTTAGAGAAATATAGGATATTAGGCATTGCTGGAATCTAATGCATAGTAGTTGTGGTTAGAAGCAGTAGTACAGTGTTCTGGAGAAGTAAGACTGTCAGGAAAGGCATTGTACAAACTGTGCTAAGGACTTTGTACCTCATACCTCAGTGATGGAGTGCTAGTGAAGAATTTTAAATAGGGAGTAACTGGATGGGTCACGATGCCATCAATTAAGTAAAGAAGAGGAGGAGGAAGAACAAGTGTGTAAGGAAGGTAATGAGTTCTGTTTGGGACATGTTGAATTTGAGTGCTACTAGGACATTCATGTGATAGCACCTGATAGGCATTTGGTTGAAGGTCAAGGGTTAGAAGGGTGTGAATTTGAGACAATGGGTAAATGAATAATATCAATATTCATAGAAAACAGTCTAGGAGTTTTTAACGCGCTTAGTAAATCTGACATTCTGCTGGGGTAGGAGGGTGGTCAGACATTAAAAAAAACTGACAAATAAAATACTTAATATTTTAGAGTTCATAATTATTATGGGAATAAAATAAAAAAAAAGAACTACACAGCTGGGTAAAAGAAGTTGGGAATGTTAGATGGAAATAGTTTTAAATAAGAGGACCAGTCACTGTAGGCCCCACTGGCAAGGTGGGTGGTAGTTAAAATCATGGGAGAAGGTGAGAATTTTGTATAGGACAGTGGTTCTTAAAGGATGGTGCCAGGCCCAGCAGGGTCAGCATTATCCAGGATATTGGAAAAGCAGAGTCTCACTCTCCACCTGAGTAGACCTATACATTACTGTGCAGAAAATTATGTAGCTACATGTATGTAAATCCTTGATTTACAAGATCTGATCAAAGACCTGCAGTCGAGTTGACTTTTATAGTACATTGTATTCATCATAGACATGTAAGCAAAGATTCTTTCAAGGCTAAAATAACTTTTAAAAAATGTCTTTTGTTTTAGGGCAAAGCTGGTGGGGTGACTATTGGCTGCATTCTAGGAATGTTTCCTTTGCTTTTCCTTGGAGGTGAAGATGATGAAAAACTGGAAAAGACAAATTAACGCTCTTAGGATATCTATAAAAAGATGTAAACTAATGTACCTCAACTACTAAATATGCTGTCACGACATTTAGGAATTAAGACAGTAACTGTGTATAGATATGGGATCAAATAATTCAGCATGTGTATTATGGAAAACACTAACTTATTGTAGCTTGGTTTTCTTAGGACATCTTTTTAAAAAAAACTGTTTAGTATCATTTTGTGTAAATTGCTGAGATGCTTTTTCATCATTGGCAGTCAACATTTTACCTTTTTCTTCTCTTTATATATATCAAAATATCATTTAAGTATCAGTCATTGATGTACTGTACTGACTTGGGGTTTGCTTATTTGTTACTTAACATGTGTACATGCATGAAAGCATTTTCTGTTGTTCCCTGTAGTTAGAATTCACCCTTAAGATTTTTTTCCCCCATATTATTTAAACTGTTCAATATCAGTTACAGATTTTTTTTTTTTTACTCTTTTGGCAACATCACTTTTGTACTATTCCACAGGAAATATTCACAATTATATGATTTTAGTCATTTTTAACTCACCTTGTTTAAAATGGATGCAGACTTGGTGTATTTTTTAAGTATCTATTACTCATTTTGATTTTCTGACATAGTACTGTCTTAAGAGCCAGGGAGTAATCAGAATAAGCAATTATGTGGTTTCTCTTCTACATAAAGCCCTATATGTTAACAAGTGTATTATTTCAAGTTGGTTTTTTTACCTTTTATTTCTTAATTTTGAATATTTACATGTGGTTTCTGAGTCCTGGGGGAAGAAAATGATTATTTTAGGGTCTTTTTATGGAGATGTTGGAAGTAGAGTGAACTAAAGGGATTTGACGTGAAACTTAGAAATTAAGAGGCCAAAAATTTTTTAGAGAAGTAGATTATGGGAACTCTCAAGAAGGCTTTTGAAGTGGTGACATTTAAATGCTGTTTGTAAGATGAATGCGATATAAAATATTATGTTGTTTGGGAGGAATATTTCCCCCTCAAAATATCTTCTCATTTGCATTGGATCAGTCTGATTATTTCCACTCATAATCCTGATTCACTGTATCTTGTTTAGTAAATTTTATTTCTGAATAACTTCTTTCAAAGTGAAAACTAAGTATTTTTATACCTTACTTTTTGGCTGTGTATAGTCTAGTAGTCAAAAGTCCCTTTTGGTCTTTTTTTCTTCTACTGTGGTATTTAAATCATATTCTAGGTTGAAGTTACTCATTTCCAGTCTTGCATATCTGACTTAAGTATAACCATGTGTGAATTTTAAATTTTGATTTGATGGAAGCTAAAGTTTCTTAGAATGTGGTCTTTTACACATGCTAAAAAATGTACTCTGAAGAATAAGCATAATGTGGAGGAGAAAAACTAAAGTTAAAATTACTGTTTTGGCATTGAAATTGTTTATGATGCTAAATAGATGCAAAAGAAGGAAAACTTACAAGATGGCTGTATTTACAGGTACCTTATTTAAAAATTTTATTTACATCTACTCACTTTGAGTTCTTATTAGAGGAGGTTTTTTCTCCCCTCCACCCCCCACAGGCAATTTATTATGAATTCTATGCACTTCAAAATAATTTAGTGTTGTACTTTAATCATAGATATTTGAGGGGGAAAAGGAATGAGAATATTCTTATAATGTACAAATATGAGTCTCATTTGATCAAATTAGAATCATAGAACTTGACATCTTAAATGGAATTTGGTTTGTATCTTCCACAAAATACCACACACACCAAAAATAATTTTTTTATTATTTCAGGTGATAGGATTAGAGTATTTACTACAAAAGTTATTTTTGCACTCAATCTTAGCCAAAAGGCCGAGAAGCGATATAAAACTTATTTTTGGTAAATGTTTAAGTGCTTTTGTCCTAACATATATTGCTAGTTCTTTCTGTTTTCTTAAAAAAAAAGTGTCTTATTTTGGTGCTTCAGTTTTCTTCTTCTTCTTAGTCAAATCCCATATCCAGAAACCTTGCCTGTAAGGTAAGAAAGGGTTTTTGGTTATTGTTTTTGTGTGTGTGTGTGTTTTGTTGTCTTGTTTTTTTTTTTTTTTTTTTTTTTGGCTCTTGAAGGCAGTCCAGTCCTACAGAATCTTTGCATTTAGGATGTTTGCTGAATTATTTACTTTCAGAACATGAAATATGTAATCCACATTGAAAGATATTTTAATTTATGGACACAATAAAAAATTGAATTTTTCAGGTAATTAAAAAAAAAAAAAAGGAAACCTTTTGTCCTTTACCTAAGATACACATTTTTTTCAAGATCTTATTCTACATGAGTATGGTACCTTAGCATAAAGTGATTTTTGAAAAATGGTTCCCTTTAACATAATGACTTCATGGAGTTACTGTGTCATGTTACTTGTTACAAAGACCCTTATTTCAGATTGAAACTGGAATTCTTATTTCTCATATTAGCCGTTTCTTTTATTGGGAGCACTGTAACTATGGTTAACTGCTACATGAGCTATGTTAGTAATACTTGTTTGAAATCCATTGTGTCCATGTAGTATGAATTACAGAATTGTTGATGCATGTAAATTGGGTGTATTTTGTTGCCACTGTATGTTAAATGGTGACCAATGTTTTTACAAAAGAATTGAACAAGAAAAATCTTTTATGAAATTTGGAATGTGGTTTTGATTTTGAAATTTGATTTTCTACCTAAACTCAGAAGGTCTGGTTATTGTGTTAATAAGAACATAGGATTAATAAAAGCAGCTTTGTTATAGGGTTGTTGCAATGTCACTGAGACAGTAAAGTGGAACCATTTTACCACCTACTTGAAATCCACACTTAAGATACATCATTACAGATTGTGAGAGAAGAATGATCCCATATCAAGATAATTTTTTCTTTTTTTATATTAATGTTTTTATTTTTTTACATCATTGTTCATTTTTAAACAGTATTTGCTCCTATTGAGATAATTTGATCTTTAATAGGTTGTCCAAAACTTTAGATAGAGAGATTGAAATAAATCATACTTGCTAGCCAAGCCTCTTCTGTAATGCCTCATTTTGAAGGTAGTGTAAGTTTATCTTTTACACCAAAAGTTTGTGTAAACCATTTTGAAGGAAACTTCTAATTTTAGAATTGTATTTTCTTGCCATCTTAAAAGAGCATATTAAATATTATATGATTTTTTTCTTAGTGGCAAAACACCATTTCACAGACGTTATTATGCTGCAGTGTGGTCCTTCAGGAATAGTTTTTGTGGTTTTTAATTTTCCTCCCCCCTTTTTTTAACTGCTCTGATATCTGGCAACTGCTTCATCTCTCATTTGCTGCTACTTGGCTGCATGGACTTAGAAACTAGTTAGCCAGTTTTCCCATAAATTATTTGGGAAATATTAGAAAATAAATGATGGAACTTGAGAGAAACGATAATGGTAATGATGACGATGATAAATATAACATTGGTTCCTTTTGTTAAGCACTTATTTGTTGTTTTGTACTGTAGTATTTTACACACACTACTATATTTAATCACTTTAATAACATTAAGTTGGTGCTATTATCCCTGTTTTATATTGGGCAAGTTTAGACATGGAGAGATTATTTGCCCGTGATGTCACCACTAATAAATAGACTGGAATCCAGCTTGTGCAAGTGTGCAGCCTGTGCTATTAACTGGGATACAGTCGGGTTATCTGTTGTATGGACTTGGTCACATCTGTTCTTCTGCTTAGATTTGTTTTCCCTCCAGATCGGTGGAGTCATTTCCTCATGTATCATCTGCAGGAATGGTATTTATAATCTCAAGGTTCATTTAGAAGTCCCGTGTTTTGGGTTGCATACTCTGTGCTAGAAACTATTTGAGGCTCTGAGTAAACAGCTAGAACATCCCCATCCTCAGGAAGCTTATCTGTGGGGGATGCTGGTGAGGGAGGACAGTGCAGAGTAGCAAATGTACTCATGTTTTTTTGTTGCCAGGTGGTAATAAGTCCTGTAGAAATATATGAAGTAAGGGATGGGGCTAGTAAGTACTGGTGGTCCTTTGTGGGGGTTATTTTTACACAGGGTGGTCAGGAAGAACCTGAAGGAGGTGAGAGCATACATAGCCATCTGCAAAGGATACTGGTTTCTAGAAAGTTGGTGTTTATTCCAAGGCATTTAAAATCATAATCTTCAGAGTAAGCAAAAGGAAATTGCCACTATTGATGAGTCATTAGAATATTGAAATAACAGCATTTTTATAGCAAAATAAGTAAGGGGAATCTTATAGATGAGAAGAGTTGTATAGCTGTTTAAGTTGCTATACCTTTATTTAAATATAATTCCTGACTACAAATTCTAGGCTTTTTTCCCTTTTCATTTTATAGGATGTTATTACATTAGGCAACTGAAGAGTGGGATGGATAACAGAGGGGTTTTAATTTACAGAGTCAACATTATGGTGGTTGGTACCACACTTGTATTTATATTTCCTGGGTAAAAGAATGAAAGATTTTCGAAGAACAAAGCTTCAGGTGCTTAAAATAGCCGTTCCTCGTTTATTTCAAGTCCTGTCTATTTCTAAGCAGTTAGATTTCGAGAGAAAAAGTATGTTGTAGAGCAGCCCTGCCAAAAGCTTAGTCCAAATTCTTTAGTCTTTCCTAGAAATTGCAGCCGGTGTTTTGTGTATCTGCAATTAGCACATTACCCTTTGATGCCATCTGATATTTGAGTGTTTTATAAAACAGGCTGAAAACTGGGCTGGTTCGCAGCTACATTCAGGTTTTATAATTATATCTTACTGCAATATCCTTCCCACTCAACAGCTAATAAATAACTTGACTAATTTTAAGATCCAATCATTTGTCTCTGTGAAATTTAGAAATTCAAAGTGCAATTCAGAAAAAAAAATTTTTTTTTATACTACTTATTACTGTTTGGTAAGAAGTCAGATTATGAGAGAGGCGGAATCCAAAATCATGAGGCCCCACTCCTTCCCTTGAGGCCCTTGTGGTATCAGAGAGATGGCAGTCCTTGGGTATTCCACAAGGCCCAAAAGTTCTGTGATTCTAGTTGATCTGTGTGGTTCACAGTGTGGCTGTTAAATTCTTGTGATGCATCATTTTTTTTTGTTTTTATATAATTTTTCTTTGTTTTTTATATAATTCAACATACTAGGCAATAAAGTCATTTTGACACTATTCCTAGTAATCTACTCTCAGAAAGACTTGGTGTAAGTAACCTTTTACATAAAAAACACTGAGTTATTCCAATTCAGGAACAATATAACTGAAAGATAGCTACTTACAGAGAAAGACAGAAATTCAGTTTAAATTACCCATCTCCGGGGTCCCTGTGGATGCCTTTAGCACATTGTTTCACATTGAGGCCTCAACTCTCAGGCAAAGGCCACATACATCTAATGACTTTTGTGTCCTGGTATTTATCACGACACTGTATTGTGAGTCATTCCTTGACCTATATAGATTTTTAAGTTAACATCAATATTAATTTTGAGGGTCTGAAGATTTGCTAAGAGAATTGTAAACTCATTAAAAAATAAATGGATA